CTGTCTTGGATGGAGACAGAAAATCACAGCAGGTATTCAGGGAGCCCTTAGTTTTAAGCACCACAGCGCAAAGCTTGTCCTAAACCTAAACCAGCAGCACAGCTCAGCCCCCCCACCCCTCAGATCCATCATTTTCCAGCAGAATCCACCAAAGCTCCCCAAAACAAGTTGCTTTTCTGCCTGCAGCTCCTCCTTGAATTCCCCACCTCTCCAGGCTGGGAAGTTCAGACTGCGGGGCCGGGCTCCAAGCGCTTATTAATTAAACTGGGCTTTGTTGGCCACTCTGGGCTTTAACCAGGAGCATAACAAACCCATTGTTTTTCCCTGCCCAACGGACCGTGACCGCCTATGGAAATGACCCACTAATTCACCAAATTGGTTTTGTTTCCCAGATTTTCCCACATGTCCATTTTCCAGCTGTAATGCAAATCCCAACCCGGCGTGTCCCCCCGAACAGCCCTGGGATCCCTGGGTGAGGCTCAGGAAGAAACACTCCAGCCACAGAAAATTCATCCAGGAAACTCCAGGAAACTGGAATTCAGTCAGAAACCCCTGGGGTTTTTTGGTGTTGGGTTTTGGGTTTTGGGGGTTTTTTTGTAATTTTTTAATTATTGGGTGGTTTATTCCTTTTTAAATTATTATTTTAAATTATTATTTTTCAAATTACTATTTTACATGATTGTTTTTACATTATTATTATTTTAATTATTGTTATTTTAATTATTATTATTATTTGAATTTTTTTTTCATTCATAGAATCCTGGAATGGGTTGGGTTGGAAGGGACCTTAAATCCCACCTCGTTCCCACCCCTCCCATCATGGGCAGGGACACATCTCACTTCCCAGATTGAGTTCTTCCCTCTTCATGAATATTTAAGAAAGTCACTTGCAGGTTTCTCTTAATGCCCAGACAGGTGGGAGCTCAAAATTCCCTCTGCCACCAATACCAGCAACAAAAGCTTAGAAAGCCAAGCTGCAATAATCCCTGGGAAGAGCAGGAGCTCCTTAACCACTAAAGCACCTCTGGATGTCACTGGAGAAGCTGTTTCCCTCTCCAGGGGATAAATCCAGCTCCAAGCCTGGCATCATAACGGGAGAGCTGGCCAGGGGGCTGGAATTATGGGCAGGAGTCTGGGATAATGGACAGGAGACCAGGATTCTGGGCAGGAGGCCATTCCTGCTGCCTTCAGAGAGGACAACTCCAGCCTGTCCCACAAAACAACTCGGCTTCTTTGAGGCCCAGATCCCAAGGAATGTAAACTTCCCAGCAAACTCTGCAGGCCAACCTCACATTTCAGCTGCCAGAGCAGCCAGTTTCTATGTACACATCTCTGCTCTTCCCAAGGAAATGGAGATGTCCTTGTCATCTCCTTTCTCTGGGACTGTCGAGCGGCTGGAGTTGGATGCCGGGCCCGGAATCCTGACTGGCAGCACTGACAAATCTATTAACTCCTGCCTTGGAGTGGGAATGTGTTTCTCTTTCCAGCTTTGTGGCTCCCACAAAGCATTTTAAAGCACCTTTCCAGGTTCCACTCAGCATTAAATCATGACTTTGGAAGGTCTCCAAGGATGGAGGGTCCCTGGAGTGTCCAAGGCTGGGTTGGACAGGGCTTGGAGCACACTGGGGTAGTGGGAGGTGTCCCTGCCCATGGCAGGGGGTGGGATAAATTGGGCTTTAAGGTCCCTTCCAACCCAAACCATTCCATGATGCCATGATTCTCCTAAAACTGGTGCTGGGCTGGATCAGCTCCATGAGTGGAAAACACTTCAAAGGAACACTAGAGCCTGGAATTCCCAGTTTTGGGGTTTCCAAAGGCCTTTCCTGACCTTTTTAGGTTCCCAGAATCCCAGATTGGTTTGGGTTGGAAGGACCTTAAATCCCACCTCATTCCAACCCTGACTCCCACCACCCCGGGGTGCTGCAAGCCCCTTCCAACCTTGGAATTCCTGGACGGGTTTTGTTGCTTCCCTCCCGGTTTCTGGTGCCCCTTCCCTGCTCCAGCTGCAGAGCAGGAGCCACCTGACATAACAGAGGTGGTGTGAAAGGGAATTAATGTTCCCAACCGAGCAAATCCCAAAAGTGCCGAGGTGAAATGGAATCCCACTTGAGGGAATGTTGAAATCAGTCCTGCAGAAGGGTAAAAAACCACAGAGCCGGCTGAGTCAGAGCCCCAGCATGGAAAATTCCTGCCCAGACGCTGACAGTTTAGCAACTGGAAGCGGGGCCTTTTAACACTGTGTTGGGGAAACTTCCCTAATCTGCACAAAATTCCAGCTCTCCTAGGGATGTTCAGAGCACTTGGAAGCACAAACCTAAATAATCCTGGTAGGCAAAGCCAGGAGAGGGATGGAATTCCAAGGAACCTGCAGCTGTCACATGATGACCACAAGAACCATGACAAATTATCACCCAGAGGTCACCACCTAAACCAGCAGCACCTGGAACCTCCCTGGAATCACAGGATCCTGGAATCTCCTCACTGGGAAGGGAGTCACTGAGTCCAGCTCCCGGCCCTGCACAGGACAATCCCAAAATCCCCCCGGGAGCACTGAACCACTTCCCTGCAGGGAAATGCTCCAGGAAGTCACGCAGGGTCGAAAAGCAATGGGAAATGATTTCCCGTCCCTTTAACAGGGTATTCCAAGGAGCAGGACAAGCAGCATTCCCAACGAGGATGCCTGGGAAGGGGAGGGGCGATGAGAAGCGACGCCAGACGTGCCACACGCGGGGACAGGGGTTAGTGGTGGACTCCATGGTCCCAGAGGGCTTTTCCAACCTGAATCCCATGATTCCACAGCCCCCATCCCACAGCAGGAGCCACTCCAGCCGAGCTGATGGAACACACCAGTATGAACCATTTTAAGGGGGAGGATTGTCAGGCTCTGGATCAGTTGCCAAGGGAAAGGGGAGAAAGGATGGAAAGGAACCCACAGCCGGATCCTGACACCCAAATTGACAGGAAGCTTTCCTTGGGAGAGTCCAGAGCGCTGCCAGGGGAAGGGAAATGAGGGAATCCATTTGGAATAAGTGGAGTCGGAGCCACAGTCTGGTCCAAGTGAAGAGCCGTGCACATAAATTCCTCCCAAAATCCCAAATGCTGACACAACCGGAGCACGGAACACTCCCAGACCCCATCCTGGATATCCATAACTGCAGCATCTGTCCTGCTGCTGCTTATGGGTTCCCACTCCCACACAAAGCTCTCCCAGTCCATTCCCTGGGAATGCTGGAGCAGGAGGGACACCTGCACCCATCCCACTATCACAGCCGGGAAAACCCCTCCAAGGCAATTAAGCAGGACCTTCTAGAAACATGAGGATGCTCCCCAAATCCCTTATCAGGAACTCTGGAATCCCGAATCCCTCTGCATTCCTTCCCCAGGTGCCCCCAACTGCGTTTTTATAAACCAAATATTTCTTAAACCAAGGGAAAACACTGTTTTCCTTAAAACTGGGAGAAGCAGGACTGAGATTTTTCGGGAAGCCCAGGCCAGGTAGGAGAGGGCGAGATGCTTCCAGGTTTGCTGGTTTGCAGGTAAATGTTCAGGTGGGAAGCAGCAGCAGCGGCTCTCCCTGGCTCCCTGTGCTCTCCCTCGGCCCCGTGGCGTGAGTGCGGGAGGGAGTGGTGAAATTTCCCTGCTTTTCTTGGCTTCTCCCGAGCCTTTCCCAAACTGTCGTAACCGTGCCTTGGCTGGGAATCCACACGAACCACTCCAAGCTCCAGCACTGCTCAACAACTCCCAGCTCTTTCCCAATCCCGCGGGCCGAGGGACGGCTGGGGGGGCTGTGGAGTGATCTATGGCAGCCCCAGCTCCGTGTTTTCCTTGGAGCGGGCTCAGGGCTGTAAAGCGGAGCTGGATGAGTTCTCTGAGGGAACTGGGGCGGGATCTTGGCCCAGCCAGAGGTGGAGGGACACTGACATCACCTCTTCACTTTAATCACCCTCGTTAACTGCGGGAGCCAGCAGTCACTCCTGACCAATCCCAGCCTCTCCTCGGCCACGCAGGGGGGACCAAAGCCAAATCCCAGGAGTCCTGAGGCTGCAAAACCTTCCAGGATCCATGGAGTCCAAGCTGGGACTGATCCCAGGCCAGAGCACTGAGTGCCACCTTCAGGGATGGGGATCCACCTGGATCCCTGCTCCCCTGGGCAGCCCCTTCCAAGGCCTGACCACCCTTTCCAGGAGGAAATTCCTCCTGGCGTCCGACCAGACCTTCCCCTGGTGAAACTTGAGGCACTTCCCTCTCCTGCTGTCCCTTGTTCCCTGGGAGCAGGGCCCAATTCCCCCCTGGATCCATCAGGGAGTTGCAGAGCCAGAAGGTCCCCCCTGAGCCTCCTTTTCTCCAGGCTGAGCCCCCCCAGCTCCCTCAGCCACTCCTGCTGCTCCAGAGCATTCCCAAACTCTCTTCCCTTCCCTGCACACGCTCCAGCCCCTCATTATCCTGTACCTGGCGAGCCCAGAGCTGATCCCAGGATTCCCCACTGTGACTGATACAATCCAGGTACCTCTTGCCCACCTGGGCTCCCCTCAATCAGATCCAAGGATCTGGAGTCCAGATCCCAGCAGGCAGCGATCTGTTCCCCTCCAAACAACATTCCAAGTGTCCCTCACCAGCTGTTTGGTCCCTTGGGTTACTATTTATTTACTGTATTTTCAAAAAGCCTTTTCTGCTTTGAAAATCCCGTTCCCAGAGTGTCCAACCAGGCAAGGAGAAGCTGAGCCTCAGGAAAACACCATTTACCTCTCTGAGAAAATTTTGCATCCCAAGCCCAGCAAGAAAACACAATTATATATATATATATATATATATAAAATATATAAAAAATAATAAGCATCACCACAGCACATTTTTATACCTTAAAACAGGAAAAATTAGGCATATCCCATGTTCCCACCCTTCTAAGGAATGAAGAGGGATTTAAACCCTCTGGATTTTGTTTCTGCTTCATATATCCCAATTTCAGCCCCAGATTAAAGTAGAAAATTCCATGTCCTTACTTTGTATCCTGGAATTGACAAAGGGAGGAGAGAGATTGTCGTGGGAGCCGAGGTCTCTGCTGGCCATGTGATCGTAGTGAGTCCCATCTCCATAGTTCTGCCAGGAAACCGGGATAAAACACGCGTTGGAGCAGCGTTTCCCCGACCCCCAAGCCCGTCATTCCCTGCTAAATGTTAAACCTGCTCACGAAGCATCATTCCCTGGATTTTTTCCCCTGGAATGTCACGTTCCAGGGATTTTTTAATGCTGTTTCAATGTTTTGGTTCACCACAAATCGACTTTACCATGGGGAGAACGGAGGACTGGGATGATGCTCCTGGAATTCTGTGCTGGGCAATAAACCCTCTCAGAAGGGTCCTCCTGCTCACAGTACGGAAGAAAGAGTCAGGAGAAGCCGAGTCTCCCGCTGTGGGAATGCCATTCCAGCAGGGAAAAGCGAGGTCAGGCCGTTTGTGGAATAATTCTGGTAGTTAATGCCCAGCCCTGATTCAAATTCCCGAATTCCTCCCAGGCTCGTGCTCCCTTTCTTTCTATCTCCCAACTTCATTCAGGGGTTTGGAGGCAGAAATAATCAGTGTGTGCCAATTCCCAACTTCCTTTTCAAAACATTTTTCCCTGGGAAGCAATACAAGTGTCAAGGGGGAAAAAAGGGGAGAAAAATCAACGTGCCGGGCGGGAATGACGTCAGGGATGCAAAGCAGGATGGAGAAGAAAAGGTACTGGGATTCCTCCCCTCCGAGGGATAGGGAAATCGGGGATCCCCCTGGGCCACCTCGAGGGAAAGGCCCTGGATTGGGGATGAGGAGGGGATGGAGAGGGGGTGGAGAGGGGATGGAGAGGGGATGGAGAGGGGATGGAGGGCCCAATCCCGCTCCTCCTCCCCGTTCCAGGGCACAGAGCTGCTGGAGCCCTGAGCCTTCCAATTAATGGGAATACAATTAAACAGGAATTAGAACAAATTTAACTCAGGGCACGAGGAAGAGAGAAACTCTGAGTGTTCTCTATGGGTTTGGAGGGAATAAAGGGGGATAAACAGGGAATGAGCAGCGCAGAGCTGAGGCACCAGCCATGCTCAGCCTGGAGGAAGGGAAAAGCTGGGATGCTCCATTGGGAACAGGGGCACGAAGGTCAGTGGTCATGGAATGGCTGGGGGGGACATGGGATGGCCAGGGGTGGTCAGTGGCCATGGAATGGCCAGGGATGGCCATGGAATGTGAGCCCTGGCACAGGGATGGGGGCTGGCCCTCCCCTCAGGCTTGGGGACACCCCCAATCCCTAAAAATCCCAGTGCAGGGGGTGAAACCCTGGGAAACAGCCTGTGCTGGCTGCACTCGGGTGGGGCCGGGGCTGAGGGAGCCCCGCAATAAATGGCTAATTAATATCCCTAAAAATCATGGGATGGCTGGGGGTGGAAGGGACCTTACAGACCATGCCATGGGTGGGCAGGGACACCTTCCCAGGGCCCGAGATGCTCCAGTTCCCCCGGAGCAGGTGCCGGATCCGAGCCCAGGCGCAGGTTGAATATTAAAAGGCCCTTGAAGGAGCAGCCGAGCGGCCGGGCCCGTCTGTCCTGGATTGCACGTTCCCAGGCTGAGGGAGGGAGATTAGATGTACTTACCCGGGATGGACTCGGATGGCCTGCATTCCCCCAGGACCCTGAGCTGGTTCTGTCTTCTACATCTGGGGACAAGGAAGTTCTTTAGTGGCAATAATTCCTGCCTTTTGTGCCGGCACTTTTAAATTAACGCTTCAAATTAATCTCCCGGTGCCTTTAATTAAGAACCAGGGGCCGGGAAGCGGCTCCTGACCTGGAGCTCCAATTAACTCATTGAAATGCACGGCGGGAACGAGCTGGACCCTCAGGAACGGGGGCTGGAGCGGCGCAATTCCAGCGCTGGATTGAGTTCCTGACACTCGGGAGCGGCATCACTGACACAGCTCCAACCCGACCCAAATCTCCGGCAGAAAACAGGGATGGACAGACAGGTGAAATGCGATTGTCCAACAGGAAAAGCTGGAGGGGAAAGGGCAGAGTGTGTTTTACACTCGAGGGTCACTCAGGGAAGGGGAGGTGGGATGTGCCTGATCCATGGATACAACGGGACATTCCCAGTATTCCTGCTCTGCTTTTCACAGAATGGGTTGGTGTGGAAGGCATTTAAAGGATCATCTGGTTCCCACCCAGACACCTTCCACTATCCCAGATTGCTCCAGCCTGGCCTGGGACACTTCCAGGGATGGGGAATCCACAACCTCCCTGGAAAAACACATGGAAGCACTGGAAGTGCTCAAATTCCTTCCTTTTTATGTCAAACCTCAGGAAACGGGATTGACATTGATCTCAAACACTGTTTTGGCCCATTGCAGTGCTGTTTCCCAGCTCACTCCCACATCCCCACACCATCCCTGGGGAATGCCAGCATCCATTGCCTTTTCCACGCACAAACAGGAGCTTTAATGGAATTCAAAACCCACATTTTGGGTGTTTCTGGCTGGAAAAACTTTCTCCAAGTGCTACCAAAACCCACCAGCAGCTCCCTTCCCACCTGTCCATCCAGCTTCTGGGAGCAGTGGGAATCTGAGGAACACTCAAAATCCAGGTACTGGGACTGAATCCGTGGGATTCCCAAGACCCAAATCCTGACACATTGATAGAGTTTCCCACTTTCCCCCAATTAGGAATTCCATTATCTCCAGAACAGATGAAGGTGTTCACAGCACGAGGCACTCCAAGGTAAATATTTAATTAAACTCCAGGAAAAAAAAAAAGGGAAAGAAAGTGTGGATCATTTCCCTGACAGACCCACTCAATCATTCCAGAGGGTTAATTAGCAGGATCCTCAAAAATCACTCGTGTTGTGGAACAGCCAATTCACTCTGTGGAGCTAAAAACCACTGGATGCCATCCCAGGGATTGGGACGGGCAGAGCTTCCACCACCAGCACCTGGAGGGCTCTGGGCAGCCTGGGTTCTTTTGGAAGCAAACAATCATGGAATGGGGTGGGATGGGAGGGGTTTTAAGGACTGTCCACTCCCATGAGCAGCGACACCTTCCAGAGACCAGGTTATTCCAAGCTGGCCTTGGACACTTCCAGGGATGGGGCATCTTCCGGGAAATCCATTCCAGGGCCTCCCCCCCTCCCAGCTGGGAATTCCTTCCCAACCTCCCAGTGCTCCTTCAGAAAACGAGGAGCGGTGCGTGCCGCGCGTTTTGCCCGGAGTCTCGTGCCGGCCTCTCCCAGTTCTCCCTGTGTTTGTGCTCCCGACTCCCTGCAAGCCATCACTGAGGGGCCCTAATGAAGTAACTGTGACGGACAAATCCATTTCCCCGGCCCTAATCGAATCCGGGCGGGCTGACACAACACAGGGGCCTAATCCGGTTATTCCCCTGATTGGAAAAAGGCCCTTTAGTTCTCATCAGGACAATCTGTGGGGATTGGCTCCTGCTCCGGTGCTTCCCGAGAAAAGCCCCAAATCCAAGCCCTGATTCCTCAGTCAGAGACGAACACGGAGCTCTTGTTCTAACACCAAGGCTTTATCTCAGCTCCAGGGAAAAGAAGGTGAAGACATGGACCTTTGAGCCCCACAATAAGCTCCACCTGTGGAAGAAGATGGATTTGGGAAATATCCTAAATTTCCAGAGCTTTTCAAACGCATGGAATCATAATCACGGTTGGAAGAGACCTCCAGGATCAGCCAGCCGGGAAGGTGTCCCTGCCCACGGCACGGGGTGGAACTGGATGATCCTGAAGGTTTGTAGGCTCCTAAACCAAATTCCAGGAGTTTATTGTGGTCCTTCCAAGTCCTGTCATGGGGGTGATTGGGAATGGGAAACTCCAGTGGCTCCAAAATCATGGCAAAAATACTCCAGGGACTTATTGGAGCTTGGATTTATCCCAGAGTTATAAACTGGGATGCTGATGTTATTTGCCCAGAATGCCAGAATTTGAGAAATCAACCTGATTTAACCACATTAGACAACAGGATATTCCAATAAGAGAATCATCATGGGCAGGTTGGGGAATTTTTTTCAGGAAATACATGATCAAAAAGGTGGGATTTAAAGAGTCATGGAATCATGGATGGTTTAGCTGGAAGGGATTTCAAGGATCATCCAGTACCACCCCCTGCCATGGGCAGGGACACCTTCCACTATCCCAGGCTGCTCCAACCTGGTCTTGGACAATTCCAAGGATGGGGCAGCCACAGCTTCTCTGGGGCACCTGGAAGAAGATGATCCTTAAAATCACAATCCTCCTTGTAGGAATTGTGTCAAAACCAGAGCGAACCTGGAGACTGGATCAGCTCAGGGATTGGGAAGTTTAAACTGCACATCCCCCAGGGCCTTTCTCTTCCAGAAGCTTTTGGCTCCAAATATCAGGACTGGAGAAAACAAACCCCAAACAACAGAGGCAGGGAGGGGAGGGGAGGAGGAGAAAGTCATTCCTGGGATCAGATGGGCCCTTTCTTTGGTGCCTGAAATTCCCAAAGCCTGCACAAATATCCACGGAGACACCGCTGTGAAACACCAGCAGGGTAAACAAACTCAACTGTTCCCAGCCTGGATATTCCCAACAAAGATCCCATTGTCCTGCCGTGGGGTGAGCTCACAAACCCCCACATTGTTGGGCAGCCATACCCGGATACTTTCTGCTCCATCTGCATCATTCCAGCTTTTCCAGAGCTTCGGAGGGACCTGCTGGCTCTCACAACTCCCTGACATGACAGGGTGGCGGCTCCATCCCTGGAATGTCCAAGGCGGGGTTGGGTGGGGCTTGGAGCAACCTGGGGTAGTGGAAGGTGTCCCCGTGCAGGGAATAAAGGATCCTGGTCTGACTGCAGACAGGATGCAAGGGAAATCAGATCCCACCAGGAAAAGACATCCAGTGGATTGCAAGGACATTTTGTGCTCGGTTTGGGGGGTTTGGAGAAGGGAATTTTAATTCCACTTTAATTTCCATGGCCGCCTCTGTCTGCCAATGATATCAAAGGGCATTTGCATATAAAGTGGGTGGGTCGCCCTCGGCAAACGCTGGGAGCCACCGGCCACTGGCAGGAGCAGATCTGGAACTTCCCAGGCAAGGAAGAGCAACCCAAAGGGACAAATCCCCCCCAGCCCGATTCCATAGGAATCGTAAGTCACTGATTACCTGGATTTTTACAGCACAGCAAGGGAACTGGGAAACCCTAAGGACAGGCTGGGATTTCCCTGCTCTAATCCAGCCTTGGGGAGGGAAGATAAACCACTGGGAAAAGGTCAGGGAGAGGGGATGTGTCCATGCCCATGGCAAGGGCTTGGAACTAGAATCCTGGGATGGTTTGGCTTGGAAGGGACCTTGGAAATCCTCTAATTGCAGCCCCCTGCCATGGATTTCATTCCCTTCCTCATGGATGTCTGTCCCTCCTGCAGGATAAAAATGGACACCAAATGGAATCCTCCGATCCCACAATGGTTTGGGTGGGGAGGGATTTTAAGGATCATTCCATTCCACCCCCTGCCATGGGCAGGGACACCTTCCACTAGACCACTTTATGCCAGCCCCATCCACCCTGGCCACTTCCAGGGGTGGTGGGATATCCACAACTTCTCCGGACAACCTGTTCCAAAGTTATATCCAAACATATCTGCCAAAGCTCCTCCAGCTCCAGCACCTGCCCTGCACAGCTTCTCCTCGCCTTCCCCTGGATCCAGCTTCCCTGGGCCTTTTCCCAGGAATCTGGAGGCACCACAACTCAAATTGCTCAAATGGAATCCTTTGGCACTTTTGGAAAACTTGCCCCCTTCCATGCCCAGCCCTCGAAGTCTCTGCCAGGAATCGCTTCCGTGACACCAGGTGGGATTTGGAAGGGAAAGCTCCTGGAGCGAGGGGCCCTTGAAGGCTCCTTCATCTCTGCCCTCTGCTCCCGCAGCAGCTGCTCCCTTTCAGCCTGCCTATATGCTCAGGAGAAACTTCCAGAGCTCCTGTTCTGAGGGGGCCATGATTCCCTCGGGAGGGACCTGGCAGGAATTCCTTCCCAGTATCCCATCTAACCCAGCTGGAAGCCATTCCCTGTGTCCTGTCACTCCATCCCGTGTGGAAAGGGCAGGGTGCCTCTCCCAGCCAGCATTTTGGGGATTTGTGATGGCCCCAAACTCACGTGGAGAGAAGCCCAATTTCCTTTAATTATCCCTATTTAGAAGAAGTAAACAAAGAGGGATCAGTGGAATGAAGAGACACAAAGAGCATGGAAACAGCTGTAAGATTGGGTTTGTATCCCAACTGCTGTTTTTCCCATTCCTTAGTCACTAATATCCCCAAATAAAGCATTTTTAATGTCTATTCTAAATCTAAACCTATCTTTTATTCACCTGAGCAACTGTGGCTGCCCCATCCCTGGAAGTGTCCAAGACCAGGTTGGAATAACCTGGGATAGGTGTCCCTGCCCATGGCAGGGGATGGGAATGAGCTGATCCTTAAAATCCCTTCCAACCCAAACCACTCTGGAATCATTTGGCTGAGTGGTGCCACCTCCTCCTCCTCCTCTGGGAAACCTGGGCCAGAGCCTCCCCACCCTCACAGGGAAGAATTCCTTCCCAATATCCCATCGAAACCAGTGGGAAGCATTCCCCTTGTCCTGTCCCTCTATGCCTTGTCCCCAGTCCCTCTCCAGCTCTCCTGGAGCCCCTTTAGGCCCTGAAG